ACCTCTCCTTTCAGCCTGTGCTGCTCCCAAGTGGGAATGCTCCAGCTTGGACAGGACTCCTGGCTGACCTCTGTCAGTGCAACTATAAGCAGGCCTGGCCCCAGAAAATCTTCATTGGAACAGGAGAAATTCCCTGAGGCTACCCCGCTAGAGACTGTGGTGGCTATTCTCGGCGGCAAATGGTTGCCACTGGCCGTCAGTTCTGACTTCCGGGATAGCGGAAGGGTCCTAGGACTTGGGAAAAGGCAGGCTTCCTAACCAGGAGAGCCCCACCTACAGAGCTGTGGCCTCCCCTTTGGTTTTAGAAACAGAGATCTGAGGTAGGTAGAGGCAAGCCACCCACAGACTGGATCCCCCAAGCCCCCCAAGCCAGACTTCGCTGTGAGGCCCCAAACTGTCCAAACCTCTGTTGCCCCCCACACCTAGCACTGCTGCCCCCCATAGCCAGGCCATCCCACCCTGCTGCAATCGGGACGGTTTGCAAAACGCCTGCTGGCTCCCGCTTTGTCACCATCTGAGGTTAGGGCTGCGCTCAGGAGATAAGCCCAGGCCCCACCCGCCATCCAGAGTGAGCCGGCTGGCCTGCTGCAATCGGGACGGTTTGCAAAACCCCTGCTCACTCCAGCTCTGTCACCATCTGAGGTTAGGGCTGCGCCCCAAGATAAAGTCTAGCCCCGCCCACGGGCTGGGCTTCCAAACCTCTCAAGCAGCATGGCCAAGAGACAGAGCTCCTGGGAAGCCACTCAGGGTCTGGAAGCCTCACTCAGGCCCAGCACAGAGATGCCTCCGCCTGTGGTCCCCTCCCCGCTTTTCCCCTCCCCCCCAACCTCACCTCTGCGCACCCATCCTCATTACCACCCTCTCCCCACACTGGCCATCTGCTCTCCTCACCGTCTACCTTCCATCCCCACCCTCCCTCCCCACTCACGTCCCTCCTGTCTCCTCCCCACGCCCATTCATGTATTCATTTGCTCAAAAAATTCTCATAACACCTACTCCAGGCTGGACACTTTGACTGTTATAGAAGCTACAGGATAAACGAGGAGAGCAATCCCTGCCGTCGTGGGGCTCACAGATTTATGAGGGGGACAGACACACATAATACCACAAATAAATTGATCGTTCCAAATGGGCAGTGCTATGTGGCAAAAGTAAAGGGTGACCGGGACGGATGTTAACAAGGGCACCTGACTTAAAGGTGAAGGTCAGGCAAGGCTTCTTTGAGGAAGTAACATTCAGACATCTGAAAGGTGAGGAGTCAGACTGGCAAAGAGCAGAGGTTCCCAGCAGACCGAGAAGTATCTGCTAAGGCCCCAGGCAGGTCCTTCCTGGTCACTGACAGGCTGGGGGAGAGGCCAAGTCCGAGAGGTGCTGACAAGCACAGGGAGGTTGGGGCAGGTCGGTTCTGTCCAATGACTCTGTCTTCACAGGGACCGAGGTACTCAGTGCCAGCGACTGAGCAGGACGCTCTGAGGGGCGGGCGCACAGGTGCAAGACCCCAGGCGCCAAGCGGGAAGAGGACTGAGATTTCGGTCTGGAGAGAGCCCCCGTTGAAGTCAGTGATGACAACGGAGTGACCACAGGCTGTCCTCTGGGGTGACTGCCCTTGGTGGTCCTTAGCTGCTGGGGGCCGGTGTAGAGAAGACGGACGTTGGGAGGCAGGATGCACGGCACAGACAGCGAAGGGGAGTGGGGGGCACTTGCGAAGGAGGGATTTGGTGATGAGCCTGGAACCCCAGGTGGAAGAGGAAAGACAGGAAGGGCCAGCGGTTCTGCCACGAGCCCCTAGAAGAGCTGCAGTGAGCCCACTTGAGCAAACAAACTGTAAGGAAAGGAGATCTTATCAGAGAGTGTGATGTTCGATTCAGTTATTTCATAGGTGCTGCAGTTTCTGGTGATGATAAGGCTCCTGGGAGTGGCTTGCTGAGGTGGAATGGAGAATGTTCGAGATGGGCGAGTGAAGGAACCGAGGGGTCAGTGTGCTGGATGGAGCATGCGCACGGACGATGACACCACCAAGACATGCCTGCTCATCCCCACCCTCTTCCACACCCCGTCCTTGTCCTAGCTGGGCCCCACTTCCTCCCCTTCCTCCTCAGCCCCCTCCCTCCCAATGCCTCATTTCCTCCCCCTGCACCCTCCTCTCCCCCTCAGCCCCTCCTGTCCTCCTCACCTTCTGCTCGGCGGTCGGCCCCGCCCTCTGCCCCGCCTCATGCTCTCCCTACCCTTCTTCCCTCCTGTCTCCACCTGGTCCCCCCGCCCCCCTCTTTCTCATCCTGCTCCTCTGACCCATCGGTTGTACTTTTACTCGCCACGCTGTGCACTCGAGAACACGAGAGCGTGGTGGCTTAAGCCCCACATTCACCACCGACCCACGCTGCCTAATTTTGCTGTGCCTCGGTTGTAAATTGGGCTAGTTATAATCTATCCTACCCTGGAAGGTTGCCAAAAAGAATACATGATTCTAAAGCGCTCACAAGACGTCTGGGCACAAAGGGGATGCTCAGATAACTGTTATTCTCACCCTCTCTCCTTACCTACCTCCTCTCTTTTCTCCCAGCCACCTTCCCACCTGCATTATCCCTCTGCGCCTACTTGGCACCTCTTCAAAGAGGCACCGGCGAATCAGACTCAGCCCCTGCCCACAGTCTAGCAGGGCAACAAGCACAAAAATAAATGTCAGGAGACTATAATAAGCGCTACTTGAAAGATGTGAAAGAATGTGCGAGGCAAACCACCTCTGCCCCGGGGGAGTAAAGGAAAAAAAATCTCAGCAGGCGGAGACCCTCTCAGCTGGCTCTGGAAAGACGAGGAAGAATTTGCCAGGCAGAAGCAGGACAGCGGTATTTCAGCAGAAGAAACACGAGGTGTTTCTTGAGCTGTTTCTGCTGGAAGGTACAAAGTTCTGCACGCATGTGTGAAGCTCGGAAGAACCCCTGCCCTGGCAGGGGCGCACCCTCCTCGACGCGGCCACAAGAGGGCAGCAAAGCACTAGGAGTGACTGCTGCGGGGCGGGGAAACCTGAGGAGAGCCACACAGACCTTGACCCCCTTGGGCCAATAGTGACAGAGGGTTTTCCGCCCAACCAGGAAAAGGAGGGCGTCTGACACCTGGATAATAAGGTTCGTCTTAGAAAAAGAACAAGAGGGGCGCCTGGGTGGCTCAGTTGGTTGGGCGACTGCCTTCGGCTCGGGTCATGATCCCGGCATCGGGTTCCCTGCTCGGCGGGAAGCCTGCTTCTCCCTCTCCCACTCCCCCTGCTTGTGTTCCCTCTCTCGCTGTGTCTCTCTCTGTATTTGACAGAGAGGGAACACAAGCAAGGGGAGTGGAAGAGGGAGAAGCAGGCTCCCCAGGAAGCGGGGAGCCCGATGTGGGGCTCGCGGGGCTCAATCCCAGGACACTGGGACCATGACCAGAGCTAAAGGCAGACGCTCAACAACTGAGCCACCCAGGCGCCCCATAAATCTTTTTTTTTTTTTTTAAGTAGGCTCCAAGCCCAGCATGGAGCCCCATGTGGGGCTTGAGCTCACGACCCTAACACCTAACCGACTGAACCTCCCAGGTGCCCTTTAAAAAGTCTTTGCTTTCTCCTCAAAGCAACCTTGCCAGGGAAGTACAATCATCCCCCTTTTGCAAATGGGAACCTTGAGGCATTGGGCCAAAGTCACCTGGGTGGAAATCGGCAGAGTTGGTTGGGCTCCAGCGTTTGGCTGCCTCCCTTGTAACTAGTCGTTCCAGCCACAGGTCTGGTATGTCCAAGGATAAAATCCAGCCTCCCCGGGAAGTCAGCAGCCCTTCTGTAAACTCTTGTCCTGTCTGTAACTAATTAGCTGTGTTGCTTTACGTCACTTCACCCCTGACCTCTTTCTTCAAAAGTTACGCAATGGGGTTAGCTTCCATTCCTTCATCCACAAACTGATGACTAGGCCCTGGGGACTGTCGTGAGCGCTGTGGCTACCAAGCCAGGCAGGAGGCAGGCTTACCTTGACAGAGTGCAGGACGGCCAGGGAGAGCAGCTAAGCCAGGGATGATTGCTGGAGAGGCCCCTCCTGTGAAGTGGGCTCCCTCCCCTCTGGCAAGTGTGGAATTTGGGCAGAAGGTGTTAAGTAAGAAAGGCTTCCCAGCATAATTAGAGGGCAGGTAGGAATTGGCCAGGCAGGCAGGGAAGGGAGGGGTATCCAGGCAGGGGAAACAGGATGTGAAAGCACAGCGTGAGCAGAGAAAACAGGGAGTTCCGAGAGTTGGGTGAGAACCTCTTTGAACATATTCTATTAATGTCCATTTTAAGAGGTGACTTTCCCTTCCAGCATGCCCATACGTGGCTCCGTGAAGCCTCACAGAACTAACGTGACAGCCTGTCCTAGGAGGTGTCAGTCAGCCAACGTGTATTTGCTGAGCACCTACTAAGCGCCCTACACAGATGGGGGAGGTGCCTGAAAGCCTTGCAGTTTCCTTAGAGTCTGCCCAGGTCTGATAGTGGGGCCAGGGACATGCAGAAGCCTCGTTTGCCCATCTCCAGTGAGGTAAGTAGGCATCTGTGAAGCACAGAGTGTCCCCACAAACAGCATTATGTTAACACCAATTTTTTAGTTCTGGGAAGGTTCCAAGGTCGTCTGCTCAGAAAGACAGGAATGGGGATGAAAGATGAAAGAGGGTTAGGAGAGATTCCTGAATGAGGCAGGCTCCTCTCTGGAAAGATCAGTTGAGGCCTTCCTAGTAACACGGCCTCCTCCAACCCCCCACCATGACACACACACACACAGCTCCCCACCTCTGGCACCCCCAGGAAGCAGCAGCTTTGGCCCCTGTGGTTCACATCCAACCTCCTGGTGGGAACTGTAGATTTAGTCAACAACACTCAAATCTTGGAAAAATAAGCAAGAGAGGTGGAGATGGTATGGAGAAAGAGAGTAGAAAGAGGAAAGCCAGAAGTGAGTGAGGCAGGGAAGAGGGGAGCCCAAGACAGGACCCAGGGCAGGTTAGGGAGAAACACTTGCAGGATGTTTCTCCTACCGCTGCTCCTGCTAAGGACTGCCGCGAGCAGATGCCTGCATGAGGAGACCCAGAAGTCTGTGACCCTTCTCCAGCCCCATCTCTCCCAACTTGCCCCCAACTTCCGCTCTTCCACCCTCACCCTGCCTGGCTCCCGTGACCCTCAACCCCTGAGAATCCGAACCTGCTATATCAGAGACCCTGTATCAGATGGAGCTTGGGATCCTGAGGGAGCCAGGATGAGAGGGGGACCCGGAGCCCTGGCCCTGGCCGCAGCCAGACAGGCTGCTCAGCAACTCCAGGGGATCCTCGCAGGTGAGTAGGGGAACAGAAGGAGGCAGGGAGGGCTGAGGAGCAGAGGGCTAGGGAGGAAGACAACCAGAGAAAAGGAACTCTAACATGTTGGGGTGAAATTGACCGCTCATCTTTTTAAGTCCCTCCAGTGCAAGGCCCCCTGCTTCTGAGTCGAGACCCCGCACAGTACTGCCATGCTGTCTGGGGGGACCCAGACACGCCAAACTACCACAGGTGAGTTCATGTCGTTGAGAATGTATATACTACCTCTTCAGAGGTACCCAGAAATGTCTCCAGCTCACCTACAGATATCCATTCTTGGCAGATGCAGCCTCTTGAACCCAGGGTACAAAGGAGAGAGTTGCCTGGGGGCAAAGGTGAGAACAATCGCTCAGATTTGGGAATCTGAAGATCTCTAGCCTGCCTAGACTTCTCCAAGCCCATTAGCACCAAAATTACTTAATGTGCTTTCTAACAAATGTAGATTCCTGAGACCCTTCTCCCCCTGGCAAGTTATTAAATCAGAGACCTGGGCGGGGGGGAGGGGTGGCAGGAGTCCCTATTCTGATAAAGACTGTCCACTCCTCACTCCCAGTACCCAGTTTCCTACTGTCTTCATCTGCTAAGCTAGATGCTGCATTTCACCCCTGGCCAGATCCCTGATGCCCATCTCCGTGGTTATGCATTGTGGCCAGAGCAGGGTCCCCCACAACTGGTCCAGCCAGATGGGCCCGGGGTCCAAGACACTGATTTTCTCCTATATGTGTGGGTGGCCCACACTTCCAAGTGCCATGGAGAGGTGAGACCCAAATCAAATCCCTTTCCCTGCCTTTCTTAAATATCATGGGAAGGGGGAGGGAGCACAAAGGCAGTTTTTACTAAATTGTGCTTATTCGAGGTGACTCGGTCATGTTGATGAAGTTTGGGTGCGAGCTAAGCCCTTTCTTTTTTTTTTTTTTAAGGTTAATTTTGTTTTTCGGGAGATAGAGAGGGGGAGCCTGTGTGCACTTGCCCACACAAGAAGGGGGAGGGGCAGAGGGAGAGGGAGAAGCTGACTCCCTGCTGAGCAGGGAGCCTGATGCGGGACTTGATCCCAGGACCCTGGGATCATGACCTGAGCCGAAAGCAGACGCTTAACCAGCTGAGCCACCCAGGCGCCAGGAGCTAAGCCCTTTCAAACCATCCCTTGGTACTGAGTTCCCTGGGTGTCTATTTTCAGGAAGATTTTCTCTGTGTTCCCTCACTTCCCTGCTTCCCTCCTCTACCTTGTCCTGGCCCATCCATAGCCCTCTGTCATGGCCTATGCTGCCTGCTGCCATCTGGACTCGGAAGACAGACCCCTTGCTGGGACCATCGTCTACTGTGCCCAGCATCTCACCAGCCCCAGCCTCAGCCACAGTGACATCGTCACGGTGACTACTACATGATGAGTAGGAAGGCGCAAACAGGTTGGGGAGAGGGGGCAGGTCACTCAGCTTCCCATGAAGTGGAAGAATCTACTAAGGATGGGGGACAAGATGTCTCAACTCTAGGAAGAGCTGATTGGGCAGAGTGGGCTATAGAGTGGCGGGTCAACCTGCTCCGTTCCCCCGTCCCCCTCACCCTGCGGTCATTTGTCCTTAGGTCACACTCCATGAATTGCTCCATGCTCTGGGTTTCTCTGGACAGCTCTTCAAGAAGTGGCGGGATTGCCCCTCAGGACCCAGTGGTAAATGGGAGGAATGAGGGCGAGCTTTCCCACGACGTCAACAAGAGGGGATCACCACCACCCCACCAACTCCTTCCTTCCAGTTCTGCTCCCCCCTTCCTAAGTGTTCCTTTCCTCATATTGCCTTCTTCCCCTTCTGTGCTCAGCTAGAGAGGACTGTTCAACAAGGCAACAAGTGACAAGGCGAGATGAGTGGGGACAGCTGCTTCTCACCACCCCAACTGTTAGCCACAGCCTGGCCAGACACTTGGGAGTGCCAGGGGCTTCACCCGGTGTTCCCTTGGAAGAAGAGGTGGGAACGGGAGCACCTGGCGGAGCTGGAAGGAAGAGGGGGCGGTCGGGTGGCAACCAGCTCCCTCCTCCCTAGGGCCCTTCGTCTTCGCACTGGGAGGCCCGACTGCTCCAGGGTTCTATAATGACTGCTACCTTCGATGGTGCCCGGCGCACTCGACTCGATCCCATCACTCTTGCTGCCTTCAAAGATTCGGGCTGGTACCGAGTCAATCACAGCGCTGCAGAGGGGCTGCTGTGGGGCCGGGGTAAGAACAGGGGAGGATGGCAGAGGGGCCCTCACGACCCGAGTCAGCGTGCGGGCAGTGAGAGGCTGGAAGGGATTTTCTGCTGCTGAGGTGGAACCGAAGCCGTGAGCACAGCAGGCGCTGAGGGATGCTTAGCATTTTGTTTGTTCGGAGGGCTCTTTCTCTTCCTGTCTCTCCAGCAGGATCTGGCCCGGAATTTGGCCTGGTGACTACGTGTGGGGCTGGCTCCTCAGACTTCTTCTGCACTGGCAGGTATGTGTGCTGCGTGGTTGAGGGGCTGTACGGCCATCGGGGACCCTAGTGGTCAGGTGCCATCCCTTCCACACAGCGGACTGGGCTGCCACTACCTGCATCTAGACAAGGGAAGCTGTTCCTCGGACCCCGCGCTGGAAGGCTGCCGCATGTACAAGCCCTTGGCCAATGGGGTGAGACAACTAGAGAGAACAGAATGAAACAGACAGGCCCCGAGCGGAGTCAACGTCTAAGACATCTCGGCAAACACTTTTCTGCCTCCTGCTCTGCCTTTCAGAGCGAATGCTGGAAGAAGGAAAATGGGTTCCCACCTGGGGCAGAGAACCCCCACGGGGAAATTTACCATTCCCAGAGTCGTTGCTTCCTTGCCAACCTCACTTCACAACTGCTCCGTGAGGACAAGACCGGGCATCCCTCTGAGATCCCACACCCGAAGGAAGCAGAGCTCACTGGCCGCTGCTACTTACATCAATGCACAGAGAGAGGAGCATACAAGGTGCAGGCGCAGGGGTCACCCTGGGCCCCATGCCTTCCTGGAAAGGCCATTCAGGTGGGTATCATAAGTGAAAAGCCATATAGCGCATTGGCGAAAAGGGAGTTTAAAAGTGCTTGGAATAGTAGTACTATTCAACATATTTAGATGTTCATTCATTTTTTACTAAGTACCCATTGAGTCCATGACCCCGATCTAGATTGTACTTTTTCCTTAGAAGGAGGGCTTGAGCAAGCAATTGAGGCCCTAACTACACCCTGCTATGTATTTCCTTGCAGATACCTGGGTACTCAGGTCTTCTCTTCTGTCCCCGGGGTCGGCTGTGTCAAACTAACGAAGTTACCAATGCTGTTACTTCCCCACCTGTGAGTCTTCCACCCCAAGACCTGTCATTCCAGCTGTCTTTACAATTAGCTGGGCCCCCAGGCCACTCGGTGGGGAAGGAAGAGCTGGACGGGCTGACTGAAGCGGTACTCCAGGCTCTGGTGAGCAGAGGCAGCCCCAGCAGGTAAAAGGGCACTTCAGGCTGAGGATTTCTCCAGGGGGCCAGGGGAACAGCTTAAGTGGGTTACTTCACAACTCTCCTCTGAAGACTTTGTCCCACTCCTAAGCCTGTACCTGCTTCAGGAGATAAGACTCTTCCAGGGACTCGACCTCCCTTAAGAGATCCAAATGTCCCTATAGGTGCTATTTCCACAGCCCCTCCACTACCACTAGTCTGGTGTTCACTGTGTACATGGGCAAGTCCCCTGGCTGCCAAGGGCCTTCAGTTGGTATGCTGCACAGGGCCCTGACCCTGACTCTCCAGAAGAAGCCCCTAGAAGTACATTTTGGAGGAGCCAGCTTTACCACAGGACACACCAAGTAAGATAATATTCCAAGTGGTTTTCTTTCAAATTCCTGGAGTCCAGATGTTTGAAATTGCATTAAGTACTCACTCATATGTAGGTCCTAGACAGGGTTATTAATTTCAGAAAACAACTCATATGATCACGTCAGGTCTGTCACTACGGGACACCTTTCCCTCCATAATAAGGGGGTTCTCCATCTCTAGGACATACGGACCCCAGTCCTCTTCCTCCCTTATGTACCAACGGGGCACCATGTCCAGTTTCTCAAACACCATAGTCTAACTCTTCCCTTAAACCATTTCCTTCACTGCCAAGTTAGGTCTCCTTCCAACAACTTAGGTTGCTGGGAGACTCAGATCTTGGTCTTTTTCCTACTTTCAGGTTCTATATTCCTCTGATTTCCTGTGTAGCTTACTGATTGGATGAGGCAGGGTTTTGTGAGCTCTGTGTATTAGGATAAAGGTGAAGCCCTTCACCTCCTAAGCCTAGGCATTATACCAAGCCAAATGTTACCTCTGTGTTCCTAGGTTGCTGGTTACCTTGGACCGTAATCCCTTTGTGACCCATCTAGCACTGTCCACAGGACTCTGCCTAACACTGCTTATTCTGGTGGGTGCACTGGGAACCGTGGCCTATCAGAAACGAGCTACTCTTCGGGTGGCACCATCTGCCCCTCACCATTCACCAGAGCTCCAAGACACAAGGGGCCCAGCTGGGGGAATAAGGGAGGTGTGATGTTACCCACAGCATGACAGGGTAGACAGGGCAGATTATTTCTTGGAAGACAACCGGATGGCCAAGTGTACATTTCAGTTCTACTTTTCTCAGAATGCCTCTTCCTCTACGTATCACCTCCATACTAGCCTTGTAATGAAAAAAAGCAAGAGACATGGTTCTGAAGATTCATTCTTTATTTTGATACAAAAAATAAACCCTTCAACCTATAGAGAGTGTCACTTGTTTTAATATCACAAGCAACCTTACAGAATAGGAATCTGTTACCAGATTCCTGCTCCAAGAATATCACGTATGCTTTAGGAAAAGTCATTGCTATTTGGATTCAAACAAACATCAGTGTGAAAGGAGTAACTAATTATCTCCTTCTCCTGATTTTTCCATAATTTTACAAAATCATCGCTAACAAAGCCAATAGTTGGGATGTCACATAATTATGCCAGGATCTGGTAAGGGCAGTGAAACCAGCCATGTGAATCCAGTTAAACTATAGAAACATGACCTTTTATTGTCCTTCTCTCCTGTTTCTGGAGTAGGAAGGCTCTACTTTATAGCCCCATGGGCCAGCAATATACTTGAGTTATAATGTATAGGTTCCTTCTGGTTATACTTGCAGAAGAAGCCACAGAATTCTTGAGGGTCTGACATGTAGAAGGAGCAAGCTAGGAGGCAGACTGCTGATCTGGATTTACTTAGATGGAAAACATTTATGCGAGCAATCCAGCTGACAGGCTGTTAACGTTGAAATAACCAAGGCTTGGGGCGCCTGGGTGGCTCAGTCGGCTAAGCATCCAACTCTTGATTTCGGCTCAGGCCATGATCTCAGGGTTGTGAGATCGAGCCCCACGTCGGGCTCGGTGATGGGCATGGAGCCTGCTTAAGATTCTCTCTCTCCCTCTCCCTCTCCCTCTGCCCCTCCCCACCCCCAAAGAAATAATCAAGCCTGTACTGGTCAACAAGTTCAGTCAGCTGATGAGGATACCATCCCTAGACCTTTAAGTGACACATTTGAAGTTCTCACAGTAAAGTTGCAACTCCATCAGCTGTGATTATCTTCTTTGTAATGCCCATCAGTCTTTACCAGCCGTAGCAGCCACTGCCTGGTAAAACTTTGCCACGAAGTCTGGCTCACTGACCTCCAGCTGCCTGACAAATTCATTGCGCTCTTGCTCAGCCCAACCTCGAAACCACTGATCCCAAAGACGTAGCTGGCACTCAAAGATACAAGGTGGTCGGTTTGCTCCAGAAACACTAAGCTGCTCCAGCCCTTCCAGCAGTGGCTGTAATTTTCCTGGCACTGCCTTAGCTACCAGGTCCTGTAGGAAACGTTCACGCTGCGGACTTGACCAACTGGCAAACCAGTGAAGAATACACTTCATCTCCTGGGAAGTGATGTAAGACATTGGGGGAGGGGAAGAGTTGGTAATACTGTCTGGTACTGAGGGTAAGGGAGAAGGGAAGGAGAGTGGCATCGAAGAGGAAGATGATTCCAGTGGCATCCTGAAACATAAAAGCACTGTTATATACTCTCTAGATAGAGTAACCAAAATACAACTTCCCAACAAGGAATCTTATCACAATCAGCATCTACAGATAAAATTACTTTTCAACAATTCAGTTTACAAGAAAACAATAGGGTACTTCATATAGGTTATTATCCAATCACCTTAGAGAAGGTAACTCAAGACTAACTTTGTTTCATACTTGCCAACCTTCCTGTTTTTCAAACTCATCACCCTCCCCAACCACTGCTTCTCTCCATTATTCTCATAAAAAAACCTAAAAATAACCAACGTATTTCTTGCTCATTCTCTGTGGCCTACTTTTATGTTCCAGGGTGAGTAAAGAAAAAATGATTAAATGTTGGTGCATCTCATCTTCCTTGAAATGAAAAAAGGTACACATTTTTTAATCTAGTACATGCAGCTGATCTGGGCTTAGATGCTAATCATTCCAGAGCTATCAACAGTGAGAAAAGAAAAAAAATTTTTAAAAATCATATATGAAAGAGCTGCCTTTGTAATGTGCATATAGCCTCTGAAATATGCCCAGAACTTCTTAACATCCATTACTTCCTTATATTTCCAGTAAAGCACCAGGAAAAATTGAAAAGCAGAGGGTGCCTCACCCAAAGTAAGATAACACAGTAAGAAAAAATAGACGCCACACGTTTATTCAAGACTGAACAAAGTCGGGGAGCCTGGTGGCTCAGTCATTAGGTGTCTGCCTTCGGCTCACGTCATGATCCCAGAGTCCTGGGATCGAGTCCCGTATGGGGCTCCCTGCTCGGCGGGGAGCCTGCTTCTCCCTCTTCCACTACCCCCTGCTTGTGTTCCCTCTCTCACTCTCTGTCAAATAAAATAAAATCTTTAAAAAAAAAAAAAAAAGACTGAAAAAAGTCTAGTCGGTTTGGTGGCTTAGGAGTGTAACGTGTTACACTGCTGTAAATGTATGACAATTGATGTCTTTGCACATTTATCGATGCCCTGCCATTGATTTGCATCAGTAATGCAAATAGGTCAGTTGACTTGAATAGATTTCAAGTTCCACAGTTTGAATTTCCCTTTTTTTTTTTTTTTAAGATTTTATTTATTTATTTGACAGAGAGAGAGGCAGCGAGAGCAGGAACACAAGCAGGGGGAGTGGGAGAGGGGGAAGCAGGCTTCCCGCCGGGCAGGGAGCCCGATGTGGGGCTCGATCCCAGGACGCTGGGATCATGACCGGAGCCGAAGGTAGACGCTTAACGACTCAAGCCACCCAGGCGCCCCCACAGTTTGAATTTCTAACAATGAAAACCTTAAAACTACTTATCAATGACCTATTTTACTGTTTTGCGTTCCTTCCGCTGCAAGTTGGGTTTGTAGTGACAAAGAAAGGAATCCCTAAGCAATCAACATCAGTTCAGTACCCCAACAGTCCAAGGAGATTGCCTTTTTCACAGCAATTCCTCCTAAGGAACTTTATTCTCTCACTCGGGTAAGGCAAAACTTTCTCCGAGTCTTGCCTCCACAGCAAACTCAAGTTCAACGATCATGAATTAGTTCACAGTCTGGGCCCCAAGGCACGGTGCTGCCACTTGCCCACTTTGGAGGCCACGAGCCTGGCATTCCAAGGACCCAAAGAGCAACGTGGTCTTAGATGGGAGTGGCGGGGATTCAGAGATTGGGAGGCGGCAGCTGTATCGGTAGCAGGGCGGGAAGTGTGCCCCACTAGGGTTACCCGCAAACACCGAGTCTAACCCGGTCCAGAGAAGGACTTCTACCCCGCTTACCTCCCCTCTCCTCTCACAGGGCACCCGAAGACCGTCACAAAAGTGCTTAAATTCCACCAGGCGCCGCCGCTTCCATGTTTCCTGAAAACCCTAACCAGGGCCAGCCCGGCAGCCCACGCACTTCCGGTCCCGGACCAGCCCCAAACACCCAAGCGCCTCAGCGCCTCAGCCTTAGGTTCGGAGATAGCCGAGTAACTCCGATTTTGGTTATGCCAGAGTCGAGGGCTTCCGAGTACATTCGATTCAAAGCCTCGGTGAGACGAAAATAACCGAGCTCTGAAAGCAGAGCGAGGGAGGGGGAAGCGGCTGAGAGGAGGGAAAGAACTGATTGGTGCCGATGTGGAGACGGAAATACACGAGCAGTTCCGGAGGAACCCGGGGAGTTCTGAGTGGTAATCGAGGGGTTGACTATAGCAGTGGGCGGGGTCAGCTCGGTACGTTCGAAGGGCGTTGGCGGAAATTACCGAAGATGCCCGAAGCCGTCGGGACGGACCCGAGTACCTCACGCAAGATGGCGGAGCTGGAGGAGGTGACTCTGGACGGGAAGCCTCTTCAGGCGCTGCGGGTGACCGACCTGAAGGCCGCACTGGAGCAGCGAGGCCTAGCGAAGAGCGGGCAGAAGAGTGCTCTGGTCAAGCGGCTCAAAGGGGTGAGAAGTCGGCGTTGCCGGGGTGTCGGAGGGGAGCGGACCCGGTAGAGACGAGTCTCTGCCGCGGCGCAGGCGCAGTGTCCGGGCTCCGCGAGAGCTCGCTCAGGCCGCCAGCGCGAGCCTCCGGATCCGCGCGCACGGTAGTTGGTGAGGCTCGCGCTGGAATAGAGATAGCGCCGGTTCCCGCCTTAACGGCAGCGGCGCGAGCCCAAAATGGGAGGGTGCGCGCTACTCTCCCGGAGTGTCTTAAGCTCCTTCCTCCTTCCCCCACCCCCTCCTTGTTTGTGTCTGTGGTCTCGGCGCATGCGCTGCAGAAGGAGTTAAATCCCACTACTACCACCGGCGTTGCTGGCCTGAGGGGGGCGAATTGGGCTGGGTCGGAGTTAGGGGTATAGTTGGGCGGAGGGGTTAATGGGGTTGGTGTCGGTGTTGGTGTCCGGAAGAATAGGATTGGGATAGAGTAAAATGTCTACCTGATTAGATTAGGAGGTGAGATGAAGAGAAATCTTGATTTGAAGGGACTCGGTTATAGAGGGGTGTATAATTTATAGGGCATCCAGAAGCAATTTGGGCGGATAAGAGTTTGGTGAATATTGGTGAGAGAGGTGGGGCAGGTTGATATATGTTGGGGGTTTTGAATCGATTTGAGTAGCTTAGGGTGGGATCGTCATGAGGTGGGTGGATTTGTGTGTATAGATTTGGTGTAAATGGAGGGAAGATGAGGATGTCTTGGTTTTAATTGGGGTTAATTAGGATACATGGCCTGTAGTGCAGATTAGGGCTGGGTTGGCTCAAGGGTTAAATTGACAGACCGTTGCCTCTACAGAAGCTGACGGTTCTGTGTGTGGATTGGGTCAGCCATAGCTTAGAGTCTGTGGTCATTTTGCTCTATAGCCCCTTTTTTGAAATTTTTATAGTTGATAAATCTAGGTGCCACTCTGTTGGAAACAATACAAGTTCACTCAAGTAGATCTTGTCCTGGGTAACTGACCAGGTAATTCAGTCAGGCCAAAACCAGCAGCCCCCTGTTGGTTTCCTGTATTTGAAGCTGACTTGAAGTCATTTTACCTGCACGACCAG